ATGTCAAACATATAGTATATGCTTTAACAAAAAAGGGACCCACTGGGTAAGCTTACATTCATGAGGGCAGAAGCCATATTTGCCATCTTCTTCAAAGTTGTAAGTGGTGGAACACCATAGGAAACCGTCATCACGACCCTGAGCTGTGCAGCTGTTGTACTCAGTGCCCATGAACAGGAAAGGGAATTTACAAAACTCGCCATCAGCATTGCCAAATTTCGCCTTCACCACTGTAAAACGAAGAATGCATACATAGATACATACTTATGTATAGAAAGGGGTGAAGATATATGAATATTTGCTCTATGGTGCTTGATTTCATATGATGCTTTCTCAATTCACTATAAAACTTTGTAGCATTAGTTTCACACGTGTTTAGAAGGTAATTTTTGTAATAATAATAGCAAGCAAGCTAACATAACATAGCAAGCTTCAATCTTCCTGGAAGTTAAAGCAAATATTGTTGTCTAGAATTTGGAAAGCAGTTTCAAAGTAGGCTTTGAAAAATGTCCAACCAAACTGTATAATGCAGGGTACAAATGATTTGTATGTAACAGTATGAACAACAAACACATATTGAGAAAATAAAAGTTCATCCAAGAGATCCTCATCTGTTCATCTGTTTAAGACTAGCACCAAGAGAAATGGAAAATAGGTTTATAGATTATTTCCACACAAATTAAATATCCAGACATAAGGATGTTAAAAAAAGGGGAAGTACTTGGGAGTAAAACTATCTGGGTCAATAGATGCGAATACAAATGTGTGCAATAGAGATTTTTTTTTTTTTAATTTAGCTTCCAGATGGCTGTAGTTTGATATGATGTCAGGTGCCAGAAAAAGATGCTTGGAAAATAGCATCTGAAAGTTATATTAGTTTCTACAATTTCAAATTCTCACCTGACAAAGTTTTAAATTAACTTTACATAACAGTCTAAGCAAAAAAATGAAGAACTAAATAAATTAAGAAATCGACACTGGTGGTTTTGCTGCATGCACTTTTTGTAACTAGCATTCTTTCATTACCTTGCCCCTCTCCGAGTGTCCACTGCTCATCATCATCAAAGTGAGAGTCTCCACCAATTCCTGGGCCTGGAGCAAAGGCATGAGCCAGGAGGCCATCCTTGCCATCAAAGGGGTAACCATCTCCATGCTCTATTGATGACATCATTAACCAATCAAAACATGTATACTGACTGCTTAAGACACGATGTGACATTTGTCCATGTATTCAAAGATTTCTGTTTCTGAAGCAACAATTCCATGTCTTCTTTGGTGGCCGATTTTCGGTTGCGTTTCCCTATAATTACTAGATTCTTTCTGAATATAGTCAGCTGTGACCAGACAGAATGTGGGTAAATATCAAGTGGTTATTTTAGCTGGAATGTTTGGAATGACCTGGGTTAATACCATAATCCCCACTGTCTTTAACCTCTTAAGCCCCAACGCCCCCTGATACGGGGGCAAAAAGCAGGAGATCAGGTAGGCTTGGGGCTTAAGAGGTTAAAGAATTCCTAAAATACAGGATGGCGGGGTGTAGAGTCACTTTGAAAAGAATGTTACTTTAAAAAGGTGTATGTTTTTGCTCCTTCAGCATTAGTCTAGAACTCGGTGAGCTTCTGTTTAAATATTGACTTATATAGGAACATTCTTAGAATTTTATCCTGCGGTACAATCTCTTTATTCTATTACAAAGATGTGGCAGATCCAATAAAAGGAGTATTTTGAGGGCTTACAATATGCGTATTATTATAAAACAAACTGATACATTTCTTTATTAATTGTAATTCTCGTAAACCCACCTGGGTACAGATGTACAATAGTTTTCAAATAACAAATGGAATATCTATATAGTGTGATGTTTATACACATAGTATACCATTGCGGCCAAAATTAATCATGATGTCTGCTTCTCCATCCATGATGCGAGTAAAAGTGAGTGGCGTGACATCACTCCATACTTTGAAGGCCCTGAAGAAAGCATCATTTATGACTTCTTCATCCAGATC